TGCATGTCATTCAGTTAAGCTGATTGCAATCAACAGGAGTATCCACAGAGTTGGATTGATCTACACGGACCAATGGTGTCTATGGGAATGGAGTCTAAGTCAGTCTTCCCTCTATTACAGGGGCACATCCAGAGATATTTTCTGACGGTCTTCCAAATTATCATTGTTGATCCATCCTCCATTTTGACCGTCTTCCGACAGAAAACTTTAGATACCCGTCAATGCAAACTTGAAAATCTGACTGTCTTCTGGAAGACCCAGAAGACAACATAAATCCGCCCCTGTATTACGTGACTACCGCAGTATGTACTAATCACAACACAAGGCATGTCCACTGTATGCGACATACAAGCTAGAGCATAATTACAGTGATGCCCAGCCAAAATATAATATGCTTTTTTATGTTACATACAGTGGACAAAGAGAAGTTGTAACTCACTTATCCTAGTTGGTGCTGGTGCTTCAAACAGAAGGATGAACGCACTGAAGCATATAATAATTCAGATGAGTATGTAAGTGAAGTATAAGTGCAATTACCCTATTGTTTGAAGCGCCGGCCATGGGATAATGACTCTGAGCCCATTCAAAATGAGAAGGGCCAAGTGCTAGCTAGGCCACAACCTAAATATGGCAGACCTACACATAAAAGAAAGAGTGCTTAATGCTGTAATGGTCTCTCTGCCTTTCACACACCTCCCCACATGTCGTCCCTGCACGGGCACAGTAATTAAATCTCGGTTCAATTCAACCAATCGAGGGACAACGCATGGAGTGCCGTGTGAGAGGCGGAAAGACCATCACAGGTTTAAGCAGTCTTCCTTTCATGTAGGTCCGCCATATTTAGGTCATGGCCTAGCTAGCACTCGGCTCTTCTCATTCTGAATGTTCCGTTTGTCAGCTGGATGCAATATGACTGCATGACAATTTCTTAGCATACATACTGTAAAATTTCCACCTTTTTAATAATAATACTACTAATGAAAAAAGTTCCTATGTGTGTGCACAAATTAAATGCCACAAAAAAGAGGTACAAAACACTTTAACGCTGCATGAGAAAAAAAAATCTAGTTTGAGAAAATACTATAACAACAATGGACACATTATTCTTCTTTTGTTAAAGGTAAGTAATAGAAATGGTTGCCAGTATAATTTAACATTTCCAACTTTCAGTAAAAGGGATTTTGTTACACAAACATCAGTCATTATTTTACCTAGCTAGGAACACTGCACTTCAAATACTTAATATACTTAATTCTTCCTTCATTTCTGCATAAGAAAAAAATTATAGTTGACCACAACCATAGCTTATGAATGAAGATCTGTAACTATCAGTCAGTGAGAATTATTATTACTAGTGATCATCAAATCACTGGGCAAAGTACACTGATCTCTGTTAGTAATACAACAAATTAAAATGACCCAGTAAAAGCTCATAAAAGTTATGAAAAGTCAGCACTTTTAAAGCTTTCAACAGTCCATTAGACAACAATACTAGCTAGAAAAACCACTTTTTTTAAACTGATTTTAATGATGTACAGGACAACCAGGGAATAGACATAAATACTGCATTTACCACTTCACTCAGTCATCTAGCTGCTCTGAGTATTTTCCAGATATGATCACAAAGCCAAAAAAAGCATACAAGTTATCCTCTTGTACTGAAATTGGGTTTTCCAACCCATTAGGTAAAAACTGCATATCTCTAGCAAATCCCTGTGGTTATTTCCAAAGATGATTTAGGCAATATTACCCCAAAATAAATGTACTGGTAAGTATTTTATGACAGTTATTGTAGAGGATCGAAGCACTTAAGATGAAAGCATTTGATATGGCAAATCAACAATAAGTGATCTTAGCAAATGATCTGGGCAAGGAAACCCAATACACACAAAGTCAAATCTCAGTAGGGTGTTTAATAGGCCCATGAGAGCCAGAAATACCTTTTAGGGGAATTGTGCAGATATATGTATAAAATGACATGATATCCATCACTAGCACTTTTTTAACTAAATATACAGTAGAGAGCATGTTTTTACTGCAATTTATAACCCTGATATTTCTTTAAGAGCTACATACTAAAGGATGCAAATAATCATCGATAACTTAGCCCAATGGCCTTCGCATATAAGTAAAAGGTGAGTTAATAATCTAATTTCTCAAATAAGAAGTACTATAGTCTGATTAAACTATAGTCACTGGGAGCTCCATGCATGTACCCGAGTACACGCACACATTGTAGTAATTCTGCAAACCTAGCCCCTAGTGATTTCCACCACTATCCCAGGCTGAAAAACACCTTCAGGATGAGCTGCCAGCTGCTGTGGAAGGCTTTTTGTTTTTGCATTTAGGGGATCAAGATGCTGAGATCTACTGATGGGGTATCAATGACTAGCAAGCCAAAGGGACGTGTGGAGTTAGAAGGGGGCCATGTTGAGCAGTACAAATCCAAATAATAAGCCTGTAATAATCTGTGTAACTTGTTTAATCTTATTTTGTAAGCAATCCCAATTAAAAATACACTTAATAAAGGATCACTTTCAGTATAGTAGTGGGGAGGGTGGGGGGGTTTCACTTTTTATAAAAGTCAAGTCTATCCCCTGAATTTATGTAATGCTACATAAGAAATGTAAATTTTTTTTTAAATTTTTACCTTCCCCCCCATAGCCCCCTGTACACACCCCCTGAACTTAATGATATTCACATACTAAGCAGTTTTTGATGATTTTAGTAGAGTATGTCATAATGTGAGTTATCAAAATGTTCACAAAAGATACTATACTTGCAGTACGAGGTATATGGTTCCAATACATACCTTCCATAATAAACCCTTGTATTTGTTCTTGGAAGTTAGAAAAATAAGAAAAACTTACATTTTTCCGACTTTTGCAACATTTCATGTATATGCTTATGTACATTTACTTGCAGCTGCCCATTTGCTCAAAGACCAAAGTTCCTTTGATTATAAACATTTTGTCTTTTACTTTTATTCAGCAACCAAGGCCACTTCCAAGAGGAAGAAAACACTGGGTGGTACTGATTTCTTGGAATCTGATGGATTGCCTAAAGGTGTCCTGCCAACCAAAAAGAACATTAATGAAGTAATGCTTTGTCTATTTCACTCAAAGCATGCTGGTCAGGCACATCGTTTTAAAGAAGCTGCAGCAGACTTAATTACTAGATTCTCTCCTGCAAGAACAAACTTTAAGGCTATTCTGTAACCTTTACACAATTTTCATAAAGGACATACAGAGGCACATACTGCAGTTTATGAAGATTTTGAGCAATTTGTCCAAACTAGGAGACAAAGGCAGAATGAGTCCTTTCATGCTTGGGTTAGAGAATTTCTGTAAAACATTGGAACCGTTTTTGATATATTTTGTGAATATATATATGTGGAGCAACATAAGAAACTTCAAGAAATTTGTGGAGGCTAAGATGAGTGACATGGAGTGGAAGTTTCTTGGGCATCAGAGAGGCAACAGAAAGATGTATTATGAATGTTATGTAGACAAACAGTGGTCAAAAGTTATGGATATGTGCAAACAAGATTTGTCATCAATGGAAAAGGGGCAAAAGACAGCAGAAAGTGAACAATACTTGTTGGCAGTTACTACAGGTAACACCAGTGAAACATGAGCTGGTGATGATACCACTGATGAATATTTCACAGCAGAAGAAGAGGAATTAGAAAGCACCATGCCTACATGCAGGAAAGAAAAGGCGAGAAGTCCAGGAGTTGGGTCCAGTAGATGATCCAATGCCTTTTAGAGTTATGCCATGTGCATTCCCACATTTGCATAGTACAACAAGAATTCTAAGAAACACTTGACAAGTTAAAAAATTGTTACCATCTGTCTGAAAATCAAGCAGAGTCAGTTGTGGTAGAAGTAGCTAATAAAATGTTTGGCAGGAACCTTAAAACTTCAAAATGATCTGGTTGAGATAGATAAAGACACACTTCCTCACAAAACAAAAGTATGCTGGAAGAAGTATTGAAAGGCTGACCCTGGACAAAATTGTTAAAGGAATCATGAATTCTAATGACAATGAATTCTAAGTCACCTATTCCAATGAAGGGTCAAAAATACAGGGAGCAGGCTCCTTCACTGTGTAATTATCAATGGGAAGTTAACCTTGCACAACCAAAGCTGACAACACTGCAGATTCTCTTCTGAAACTAAGGCCCTTTTAGAGAAAATAGATTCCTTTATCACTGATCAGACACTGCATAACTTTAATGTGGATGCATTTAATTATTTTGCAATGTTCAACCTAAGACCCAATCTAGTCCTTGCTTAATGTTTAATCATATTATTGTGAAACAATGAGGAAATCTTGGAACTATGATTGGGCATGACAAGATCTACTCCAACTTCCTTGTAAATGCCACATCTAATGCAAGCAGTATCACTTGACAAGTATTAGACTATGTGACCAGGCTGATAAACCATGACATAAGGCAAGCAACTGACTGTATATAATGATTAAGGGAGTAGGGGTAAATTTTGATGTGTAGGTGACCACCCTGGAGCTAAGGTGCCTATTGTTTTATAGAAAGAAAGACCAATAATCAAGGATTTTTTGGATGTATCAAACACACCACTCGGATGAAGCATATATACAGTGTGTGATGTAAAACATGGGTCTGTCCTAAACGATTTTGAGCAAAATATGCCTTTTTTTTCATGATCTTTTGAGCCATGATGGTGAAACTGGTTTTGTTTTGATATTTTTGTATACAAAAACAGAATATAGTTTTGTAAGCTTTTGGTACAATAAGAAGGGTAAGTACCGCAAAAAGTATGCAAAAAAAATATTTTTAAAAAACATTAAAAATCAGTAATTTTTGGATATTGCAAACTTCAGAGGATATGTACAAATGTAACAGGGGTTAGAGAGGTTATAAAATTACTGCTTAAAAATTCTAACAAAAGACCCATTACATAATTTCAGGGGGTAGAACACAATATCAGTATTATCCCCCCCCCCCCCTCAAATAGAAGTGCTTTGTGATCCAGAATCAAGGAATCATTGAAAATGGTAGCAAAAAGGCTAAAACTTAGTATATTGCAAAGTCACAATTTGAGTAAGCATCAAGATATCATACAATATAGTGATTCAAATCACTGACAAACAAATTACAGTCTATGGCAAAGTTTCTTAAAATGGCGACATTTATTTCAATATTGCTACCACATATACACAGTTACGAACAAAAAAAAAAAAAATGAAAACAATATTTTACAAGGATTGGTAAACTGGAATATGGATTTTTTACCATTTGCATGTACAGCAAGAGAAAATCTCAATTTTGAGTGGTTCTGTATGCATGCATTTCTTAAGTTACACCAATTTTTGCATCTTAGTCAAAAATGATTCACAGGCTTACAAAAAAGAAAATAATAATAATAACAATAAAATAATGTTGATATATCCAAAAAAGCCAACAATTTCAATAAATATGATACACTGCATTATGTATGTGACTTAGTGAAGTAGGCTATAGAGTTCTCGGTACATTCCATCACTAGGACTACTACTCCGAGACCTCAGGCTCCCTGAACAACTGCTGACAGATCCACCATATTGACAAGGAACAAACATGTTAGGATGGAGCAGGTGTTGGTCCATACAGTCTGTTCCATCATGATGAGGATCGTGGGCCTGGGTTGCCAAATAACTCTGCATCATACCAATATGATCGCAACTGTTTCTGTGTGGATGAAGGTATCTTCTGTCCATTGCAGAGCAAGAAGACCACATGGCATGGCCATTCATTGGGGCTTGTCTTATTAAGCTCAATTGGCTACTTCGACGCCTCTGTTGTTGGTTTGGTCGAATATGGCAATCGGTCCAGCTACGTGCACGGTGGGGGTCAATATGAGGTTTGTGATGTACTGCTGCATCAAATGATTTGGATCTTGTTCTGGCTGAACCGTTAGCCATTTGTGGTACGAGCTGAGTGTTCAAGAAGTCAGGGCCTGAAAATGGAAAAGGTTTGAGGAAAGAAGAACAATTTGTTCTTGACTGCCTTTTCTGTATTGCTGAGTTTAACATTCTTTTCATCAATTCTTTTAGACTGACAAAAAAGGAGAGAGAAAGGAAGGCAGAGAGAGCTTAGAATATACAAGAGCTTAAAAACAGAATGTTTGTTGAGGAATTTAGTTTAAATGGAGGATCAAAAATACCAACCAAAAAGAAAGAGAATACAGAAAGTTGGTATTACTTTCCATTGATGCTCACAAAAAACTTTTCTTTTCATGTTAAAACAACTGCAAATCAGATAAAGTTCCTGGAATCATCCAAGCCATGACATGATTCTTAATTTTTTTTCACTGCATTCCTTGCTTAACTTATTTCTTCTTCTTTCTGTTTCTGGTAAGAATACATAAGATTACTTAAGAATATTTTAAACATAATTACTTGTCATATATATTACTGAATTAGTTTAAATATAAACTGTACACATGCATTTTATGAAAATATTGGACAATAATAAATATAAATACTAATATGCTTACAGCCAATCTCAGTGAGGTGCAATATGTAAATAGCACAATATTTGTGTATCCAAAACTCAAATGACCAAAGCATCTTTTAAATAACAATTAAGCAAAAGTGCTGTTGCAAAAAAAGGGCCAACATACTTTGCACAGATAGCATCAACATAAAATTGTACTTATGTATATATATGGCACACTTGATCTTAAAACCAATAACAAAACAGCCCAGAACACCAACTTGCATTATATGTCCAAACATATGACATTACAGTGTACTTGGTACTAGGAGTAGATCAAGAATCCATTAAAAATAATAATAAAGGCTTATTGGTGATACGGTCAGTGAAACGCAACATATCATGTCTATATTTCAAGAATGTGTTCACAGTGTACTGTAGTCTAACACATAAGATGACACCAACTCAAATTTACCATGTCCCACTTGTAATCAATTAGTTTATCTGTATATATGTATAAATACTAGTATGGGGCCAAAGTCTTACCATCTATAAACTCCACTGTAGGCTAAAATAGTCACCTCAAAGTTAATGTAGACAAAGATTCATAAATATATCGTTAGGGAACCTGTTAATAGTTTCGTTTTCCATCTCTTTCCAGAGAATATTTATAAGAATTAGACGACATGGCAAAATCCTAACACTAGAGCTGTATCCAATTACTGATCTCTAAAGAAAAATGTTGATGAAAATATGTATTTCCTCAATATATATGAAAATTCCCACTCTCTTTGACCTTTTAATATGAAGCTGCGGCTGAATGTGATGAAAAACAGAATGCACTCATAAAACAAGGAAACAAAACATAATCATTTTAAAGCTGTCAATGTTCAGTACCCCCCCCCCCCCCATTCCCCCAGTGAATACTTCATCCCAATCCCTATCATTCAATTTCAAAAGTGTTGTTTAGGTGACCACTTTTACATCAATCTTGCTGACAACAGGCTTTTGAGATAAAACAAATAGTACAGCTAGGGAGCCCCCTGTATGTTTCAATGAACAAAACTAGGATTAATGGGAATGGTTTTCAATCTTCAATCTATCATTTTTACATTCATAATACATGACTCAATCCATTACTTTTATGAATTTACTTAATGCAAAATATTGATTATCCATTTTAAATTCAGTTCCATGGAGATAATGCACCCTCATCAAATGATCAAATAAAATTATACAAAACATGATAATATAAAATTACGCATTCTTTAGAATTACCATGTCCTTTTGTATTAGGCTGATTTAACCAAATGTGCTGCAAAAATATAATGAAAAATTAACTGTTTCAATCTTTCACTTTTTCATTATTTTAAGGAACAAGAGAGGCATAGAGTCACCTCCTAAGTATGCACCACCAGCTGGCACCCCCCCCCCCAAAAAAAAAAAAAAAAATCCTGAAACTTTTTCAATATAGTTCTTTCACAAATTAATATATAATATAATACATAATATTAGCTTTGGTACACAAGGGCTCCTAGAAATTATGTCAGGGGCATTTTTAATAAATTGAAATGCCAATATCTTGACATATTGCAATGTTGCTTCTTTTTTGCCTATATGCAGCAGATTGGATTGGACATATTTACCTTGAATTCTTTGGTTGGATCTGGTGATAGATGGGGACCTCGAGGCAGATTCTTTAATCTTGAGGGCATTGATGCAGGGAAGCCTAATATCCACTCTGGACCCATCTGACAACATTATCTGAAATGTGAGCAGGAATTATACTAGTACATCCGAGGTGGCCCGTCCGCAGTGCCACAGTTTCATTTCAAGTTTCTCCAAGTACTTTAATTTAGAATGCTACCAGGTACCTGTGGGATATACACATAAATGTAAGTTGCTTTCATCATTATCATGTAACTTTTGAAAATCAAATATTTTAATGCACACCTTTTGGTTGATGGCATACAGCTTATTGGTGACATCTCTGCCCACTACTCCTGATAACACCTGTGCCAGGAATGGCTCCTTGGCCAACAGGTACTTCAGGGCAGACCTCTGCCACACCAGGCAACGACTGTATTCAGTGGCAATGAGAGACACCTAAAATGACATGAATAAAGCATTCATTATTTAGTCCTTAACAAAGGTATTTGACCAATATATGTTCCTTGTACTGCCACTCTCTGACAAACCACCATAACTGATTATCTACAGCATTTGGTCATGATTTACACAATCGTATATCATTATGTTAAATTAAATGAAAATATCCCATACCTGAAATTTATCCTCTTTATTGGAAGTAGACTCAAACTCTGGAGAATCTAGGAATTCCTTTTCATGAATATTATGAAGGAATTGGCCATTAGCAATAACTGTAATCCTGAAAGTCATTATTGCAATATATATAAATTCTCATAAAAAAGCAAAAAAGACAAAAATCATTGTAATTTAAATAACCATGTAGTCAATCATATTTCATTTCAGACAATATCATGGTATTCTTGTACAGGTAGTTTTGATCATTAAAATGGTAAAAAAAATTAATTGGACTGATGTGAAAATGTACATCAAAATAGCATTTATCAATGTCTTGGATCTCTCTTAAGCAATTGTGCTTATACCTTCAAACTTGAATGTTCAGCTAAAATCCCAATGCCTTCTATACTTACATTCCAGACACTAGGAGACCTAACTTATTTGTCCTGGTGACATTTTGAGTCGCATAAACTTCTCCTTCTTGTAAGGTAGCAATGGTGGCATGCTCAGGGCTAATTAGTTTCTTGAACAGTGATCTGAAATGTCAGTATTAAATAGCTAGAGAGCATATGGTACTTATTGATCAAATGAAACCCTGTAATGTGAGTTTTACAAAAGGGTTTAACTACATTTAACACTACACCTGGCTAAAAGATGAAAGACCTTTGAGCATCAAAAGACATGAAATGCCATCAAAAACAGCAGAAAATATTAATAATAAATATCATAAGTTATTCACCTTTCAAGAACTTGAGTTACAGTATATCAAAAGTGGGTATTAACCCGAACACATTGTTTCTTTAATACCTGGAGACTTTCAGTGGCTGAAATAATGTGACATAAACCTCCTCTAGTTCTTGAGAAAATTTCACAGGTTTTAGTCTGTACAGCATGAACAACATCTGCACCAGGTTAATAACTGTGAAACTGAAATGCCAGGAGAACACATCTGGAGCACAGAGAATTATCCAGGACCATGTGGCAAGGAGTAAAAATCCTAGGGCCAAAAAAAAACAAATTAAATTTATAAACCATGAAAATATCAACATTTTTTTCATAGAAAAGGCTTGAAATAAAAAAAACTTATTTTCTTGTTAATATCACATAAAACAGTGTCATATAACTGATACATAATACTGAACTATGAATGCCAAGAGAAATTAATGTAAATAAAACACATATTGAGCTTGCTTTAGCATATCTAAGTCTTGTCTTAGCCAAATAAATGAAAATATTATTTAGCTAAATGATTACAGCGATAGATAAATTGCCTGACAATAAAGTTTCATCAGCATTTCCATTTGTCAAAATTAGCCAAAAAAATATTAGAAATTGACTTTTATTTTTTTTGGAGAACTGGTACAGCAATTATTCCATTAAAGTGTAAATGTAGACAAGATCATCTTAACAAATTATATTTACCACTTGTTAATAATAATTAACTTACTCTGTCTAACAAAAAAAAAAAAAAATAATAATAATAATAATGACTTCCCTCCACTAAATAAATGCATAATTTATTCAAATTAAAAATTACTTGCATTACTCAAGTTATGAAATATGCATAGGGTGGTAATCACAGTCACCTTTTTATTTTTTTACCACAGAATGCATATACTTGTAAATGCAACAAAGACATACATGAGTATATCGTACCAAGAACAAGCATACTATGGGTAAATAAAATCCCATAAGTTCCCTCTGGTCCTAGATATCCTACTAGGAGGGCAGCATGCCCTATCTGAAACAAGATGTGATGTGGTGTCTTCCACTGACCAAAGCAGAAGCTATGTCCATCCAATAGACTAGCTTCAGTCAAGTTTCCTGTGGAATTATCCATCATTCAACAAACTGCAATAAACCATAATTCAAAAGAGTAATCAGGATAATTATATAGAATAATTTATAATTGCAGATTGAGAGTAATCCACAGTACTGCAAACTTATTGGTTTTAACATTTAAAAACCATTCCAAACTGACATTCCCTACCAGTAAGAGTAGACGATGTGATGGAATCGTTAAATCGAAACTGGCCGGATCTGTTAAAATACAGTCCTGTTTTGACCTTCTTCAAAATGACCCGCCTCTACAACTTCACAAATCATTTGGTCTACATAACGGATTATTTCAATTCAATTATTAATGTAGTGTCGTACTTACTGTTTAGTATCCAATTTATATACAAAGCATCAAGAATACAGTATAGCTGAACATCAGCGAAATACAGCAAATTTCCGGGAAATAGGTGCAAACAAGCCGATAGATGTCGCTACTGCAGATCACGTTTTTCCAGGCAGACCTTGAGCATCTTCCATCTCTTTTGTTTCGCTGTAAAAACCAACACGCACAAGATATAGCTTGTGATAGATTTGAAAGAAAGGGGTTAAAGGCCTATTGCTTTCATAGTCAATGTCCAATTCACAACTCAACTGAATAATAAACATTTCAAGTGTGTTTTTTACGTCCCGTTTAAAGTGGGCAAATAAATGTTGTTGCTGCGTTAGAGAGCAACTTAGCTTTCTATCACAGCAATCACATCTTGCACACTTGAAATTTCCAAAAACCAGAGGATTTTTTTAAAAGTTTGAAAATAATTTACATATTTTAGGAATTTTCTAATGATGACTTTTTCGACAATGCTATCAAAACAAACGCCGACTTGTATATTTTGGCAAGCACGTTTTGATACGATATCTTTCAAAAACGATTTTAACCTAGTTTTTTTTTTTTTTTTTTTTTTTTTTTTTTTTTGCACGGTCGCCTTGCACAGATCACAAGGTAGATGGGCAGAGGTAGATCATTTTCTTGGAACTAAAATTTGAGAATCAAAATTAATTTCCTAGTCGATGTTAACCCCCCACAAGGAAATTGTTTACCTTGCCGAAGACCCACAATCGTGTTATTAATGATGAAGATAATGAACCACGTATGAATAGATCCAAATTGCAAATACCAGGGAGGGTTTGTTGCTGATTTACAATAGGGATCGTTCTTCCTCGATTTCTTAACAAATCCACAGCTGATTCATATTATTTAGAATCATGTCAGGATCTTTTGGGGTGTGGTGAGACGAGGGTTCAGACAAGAGGCTCTTGTAATTTTAATGAACACATATTTATTTGGGGCTCTAATGAGCGACTTCATCGAGTTGAATACAATAGTCTGAACCGTGAAGTGCATCTACATGTATTTGTAGCCTCGTGTGCAATGCATCTGGTTTATTTCGACAACCTATTTTCTGGATTGAGCTACCTAACGGCCCGTATCCAAATAGGCATAAAAATTCAGTGTAAATATGATGGAATAACACATATAGGCCTATGTACTAGTACTGTGTAACTGGGTGGGATTTAGCAGGTCATTTCAACAAGTTTCGTCATTGTGTCGCCTGCTGGCTTTGACAGGTGAATCAGTTTTATCTGCACCGCTGTTAAAATGATTTATCAAACAAACCAAATTTTCTCCTTCCCCATAGGGCCTGTTTTTCTGTCTTGCAGGGCGTCCATGAGATTTACTTTTTATTGTCCTGATCAATCATCTGGCTATTTTTGTCCATTATCGTAGAAATCTATTATGAAATGTACAATTAATCTCAGATGCCGTTCTTGCATGTACAATGCACAATATTCCAGGCACAAGCTCTTACGTCATTGTGAACAATCCAAGGCAGACAGTCTGAGACTTAAAATCGAATAGGCCTGCAAACTCATTTACTGTGTTCTGCCACATCGCGTGACGATTAACAGACTGTTGCTGCTACTATAATTTACGTTTTTTATTCTTATCTTTTTCATCGGCTGTAATTACTTAAAATCTAAGTGCACTTCCTAAACTGGTAGATTGTGAGCCAGGATTTACGGTGTTTAAGTGTGGCATATACGAGAAGGGAGGGGCACAGGGGTAGGAGATGAATTGTTTACACCTATCGCATATATATACCAATATAAATACTCCATATCTAAACGCACCATAAAATATCTTGGCACACACAGTTGCAACTTTTCTGTAGCTTCCTCATTTTGACTTTTACTAGTAGGCCTACTGTTCCAACACCGAAATAGGTTTATGCCACCGTTTACTCCAATCTCCACCAATAATCATGACTGGCAGACGTGAGAAACCTGTAAAAAGGTGAACAGTCGGTCTACTTGACTTTGGGAGCTGGGTCGTGGATATGTTCACGCGAACCAGGTACAGCTTGCTATCAAAATACAATTTTCTCCATAACTGCATTTCACTTTCAATCAGTGAAAGGCTTAGTGTGTAGAAGGACCTTCTGACAGAAAAGTGCCAAAGCAGGGGCCACGTAGGATTGGTCAGGAGACCAGACTTCTGCACACCTTTTAGGCTAGCAGTAAACAATCTCAATCAAACAGCTTTTCGCAATCTTCAATAAAGTTTGCATTTAGTTTGGGCTTAGGGTCTGCAGTCTTATTTATCTTTTGATTCTTTGCAAAATTTTAGGTTATAAAAGACACCAACAAGAAGATAAGTATAGCCATACTTCTTGGCAAGAGCAGTTGCGGACATGGATTAAATGACTGTAAAATATACCAGCTAAACAACTTGACCTTGAAGGACATATGATGCCCCTGTTCCCTTGTCTACCATTATAGAGATTTATATCGACATGGATCGATTGGCCTCTGCGCTCTGTGCTCAGACCGAGGTTTGCAACAGAAAAAAAGAAAACCCTATTAGGCCTACATTTGAAATTGGCATCCAACAGTTTGCATTCATGCTTTTATTTATTTATTTATTTATTTATTTATTTATTTATTTATTTATTTGAAAGGATGAGACTCGGTCAAAATTATTAATATTCTCAGCAAGCAAAAAGAGCTGCTCCTGATACCTGAACATCACCTTTGAAATAAATGTTTTGCGGCGTATGTGACACAATCTGCACAGATTTATCAGAAACATGTCCTAATATTTATTTTTTTTCTGCTGACAATTGAAGATCTATTTCAAATTTCTTAAGTCATTTAATTCTGTATAATGTTCTGGCTGTGTACCTGCTATTTTCAATTAATTTTAGTCCAGTTATCTTGTAAAGTATAGCGTTTACTTTAGTTATGAGAGAGAGAGACTTCAGTTTTTGAGTTTGAGCAAGGAACAGTCACCCTTATTGTGTCGGTAGCCTGAATTGTAATTCTTACTGCAGAAACATCGACTAATTTTTATCAAACAAAACTGTACGCCAGAAGTACAAAAAATCCAGTTTTTGGATAGATCTTCCCGCCGTTCGCATTGGCCGTCAAATATCTACGTAATTTACTAGGGTAAAATGTTACAATATTACTCCTCTCTCATGGTCAAGGGTAAGTAAAAGCGTGGGGACAGAATTTCCAATTGTAGTAAGTATTTAAAGGAAACAATCGCAGTGGGAGTCGTACATCGAGATTGCTCCTCACTTAATGTCGATACATTGCGATAAAGAAAAAACAGATTCAAAACGCCTTTGTTCTAGAAATAAAACGCTGCTTTATAAATAAATAGAAAACACATAAATTTACTTTGAATATAGTTTTATTCAAAAAGGGTAAAAAAAGTGTGTACATTGTATGTTGGTGGTCCGTATGAACATTACAATAATTGGCAGCTGCTTTTACATGCAATTCATCCTGTAAGCGTTGGATCATTGAAAGGTTGAAGCAAATAAGACTACCGCTGTATCATGCCCACAGTATCTTAATATAAGCCATATTTCCCTTAAAACACGCAAAATAAGAAAACAAACTGACTTGTATCCTTTACTTAAAATTATGTCCAATACTTGATGCTATTTTCGACTTAGATATTCGAAACTAAGACAACAACATTGAATTAATCGCATAAAATCAGTTACAGGTTTTCAGTTGATCTTGAATCCTGAATCAAAATATACTGTTACTTAACCATGGTGGAAAGGGAGGTTTTGCCCCCGTTATCTATTCATAACATTCACAACATTCAACCATTCTATAGTTAAGTCATCCTACCAATTGTTCATTCCCATATAAAAAGAGAGATTCCATACATGGCGGAAGGATGGTTCATTCAAGCGTACAAGGTTGTCTTCAAATGGGTTCGATTCGGTTCCATGGTGATTTGAGCTTAGAGGTTAGGGTCATCTCTTGAGCATCGTTTTCATCTATGCCAAGAACGGTCCCCAAAACAATTTTGCAGGCGTGTCGTCGGTGTGCTGGAAAAAGTCTCTGCCGGCATTGACAAATTCCTCTCTACTGATCAGACCGTCGTGATTGGCATCTAGAGCTTCAAATGACGGGCAAACAGAGAGTGGATGGACTCCAAAACATTCGAGGAAAACGGCATATTCATCCATGGTTACCATACCGTCGCTGTTGGCATCCACGCCGTCAAAGCAAGCCGACAGCCACTTCTCGGTTTTTTCGTGGTAGTGGGGGTCTTGGAGATACTTTTGATGTGCTTTCACCATTTCGTTGATGTTTTCCTTTTCTTTCTGGGCACCACCGCAAAACATGTCCCATTCCTTATCCCAGAGATTGCAAAAGACTTCTGCCTTTTCCTTGCTCATGTATTTTTTCGCTCTTTCTTCGACCCAGTCTACAAAATCTGATTTGTTAACAACACAGTCGAGATCGCGATCGAAGATGATAAAAAAGGAACGCATTTTGCGCACCCAAAAGTCTGGAAGAGGTGCACAGCTCATCTGAAATTTTTTGAAAAATAAATTACTATTTAGCAAGAGAGAGAGAGTCACTTATTAGAATAAACCAGCAGTAAAAGAAATAATATTAAGTCAACTTTCAATAGAAATGAGTCTCAACGGCAGATCACGATATAGCAATAAGTAGTCAAATTTTATTACGACTCATTGCTTAGATACTACAATTGCAGTACATACCTTGGCTCTTTTGAGTTTTGTCAAAGATTATGCCGAATTTTCCTAGTTAAAGGCAATGACCTACCGATACGTTTGGTGGTTGATCGACAACTAAAGGAGAGAACTGAATATATCTTTGCCTCTCAGAAATGATAATCATGGGCGACCCTTAAAAGATGGAACCAGTTACCACTTCCAGATCGGGAGAAGATGGTGGAAAGAGACAAACATCTTTCTGAAAAATTGATTCAGTTTCCGCTAGCTCATTATTGTGAAATATGGACATCCAAAATGACCATCGAATAGAAACGTGTTGTGCTGGATATCTTGGAAAAATTCTTAATTCTATAAAGAGCTGATTTTAATGATACATTTCCATTATATCTCCCCCTTGGACGAAAATGACACGCCAATTTCCTATCTCACCCTCCCATATAGAATTGAAAGGAAAATATCAATCTTTCATACCCTTAAGGAATTTTCTGAGATATTGCCAACAATCGTTTTCGAGAAAATAGAAAAATGTGCACAACTGACAGCGGGATTTCCAGGTCGATTATCCACATTGTATTTCTTCCACGTAATCCTATTTCATTACTCTATTACATAACCAGTGGACATAGATTCTGATTTTTATCTTCGGAGCAGAGATCCGATATGCATCAGGAGTACAGGTGGAAAAGCTCAACATCACATTTCTCACAGATCAAGAGAAAGAAAAAAACACGTACATGTTCCGTGCGCCGATTATATCTAGCAAATCTTTCTTACTACTTGTTGCCAGAAAAAAAAAAAAAAAAAAAAAAAAGAAAAGAAAAAAGGAGGGAGAGAGAGAGATACGTTACATTATATCCCCGTTCCGTTTCTTTTTAGCATCAGGGGAAGTCATTTTTTCTGTTCATGTACATGTGTTTGTCACGAGAAAATCAGAAAAATGAAAAGATCAGAATGTTAAAATGAAATTTCTGACATACATGTGATATTATAATCTAACTCTCCAATAAACTCCTATGTAGACGGTCAACAAAAAAGAACAAAAAAGCAACACGCTGCAACATGTTTGCGATTTCTTACGCATCTAATATACCTAACACGCGACTGCTGCTAGAATGCACTTATTTTTGTCTCAGTTTCCCGGAACACATGTTACCCAGTGTTTAACTACTTAAAAGAGGTATTATACCTAGCCGATTTCTCCCTACAGGTACAATCGATCACAGGTTGTGTCAGATATTACCTCAAATTCTTCTCCCTTGTTGAATTAATTTTCTTTTAATGTTGTAAGCGCCTAACCCGAGGCATCTAAGATAACTGCACCTAAACCTCTGCGGAAGTACTGGTATGGCTTAAGAAATCGTGGATTTGAGATTTGAATTCGTCTTTCAGACAAAAAATATATAGATATATATAGAAAAAGAAGAAAGTAGTACATAAGGCCAAATTACGCTAGACGATTTAAAACATGATATGAAAATAAAATAAGTTAGGCTAACCAAGAGACAAACTCCTTGGGCAAACTTAGTTAGTTTTGTATAAAACAAAAAAAGTATTTCAATGTGAGGGACATACATTATATTATATGGAGTATACACAAAATCAACAACAGAAGAAATACAGGAGTAGAGACTAAATTTGATTTAGAAAATTCAATAATGACCGAGCTAAAAGTCTAATTCTCGCCATGGGAAAGAACGTCTTTAAAAAGTTTAAGGAAACAACTAAGATCAGACCACTTTATGGGAGCGATGTGAATGATAACCTCGACAAGGGTTAAGATTTCAACTGATCCCTAAGAACTCTTGAGAATAGAAAAACAGATTAGACAGAAAAATGTAAGACAAAGTATATCGTGAATAATATAGGTGCAAAGAACGGATAAATGATCATGGACTAAATTAAGTTTGTCTACTGAGAATTTTAACACAAATAGACTTTTGAGTTTTCTGTAGAAGACCACTAGAAGTAGTTATCTTAAGTGCCGTACTGAAAGCAGAACTAAATTCTTTTGGGGCACAACTTGATCATCGTCAATGTTCGTTAAGAAAATAGGTGGCAAGCATCAGTTAAAACGTTATGACTTGGTAGAGAGCTGCGATGAATAAATAAGTAAATAAGCTAGCAAACAAACAAACAAACAATTGTCTGTTAAAACGGGACTAAACAGGTACGATGCCCAAGGCGTGTGGATAAATGATATAAGCCGTTTGTCTCACTTCAGGTGGTTTCGTGGCTCTTGGATATGCATGTCAGAAACGTAATTCTTTTTACAATATTTATTGATGCTTGTACAGCACTTAAGTGTTCAGGGTTTAACAGTGACCCTCTCTTTCTTCACTACCCCACCGGTCCAATATCCTTGTGTGTGTGTGTGTGTGATATTTCTGACAAGTTTCATTTACTGGTTTGCAAAATCACTTGGTAATGTTTTCCTCATACGGTGAACAATTCATTTATCCAATTTGAGAATTCAATGTTTTCAAATGTTTACTAGATGTGCATTATCTGTGTGATGACAATATTGATATTTGTTGCATTAATTCAACTATTGAGGTATAGATGCTATTGTTGTCTTAAGTGTGTGTAATAATAGTAGTGAGTCAAGAATCAAAGTTGAAAACAAAATTACAGATAACCTGTACATGTAACCAAATAGATGCTCTTTTCGAAAGTTCTATTCAGACGTTAAATTTTATGTCTTTTTTCCTGATACTTTGGAACTGATCAAACCTATAACTATCAGGCATAGCTTTTTTAATTTTTTAATTTGCACCACAGACATACTCTGGCATATGATTTTAAATTGGCTGCTGGGGGTGCAGGGCTGAAGGTTAGAATAAGACTTAAGCCGAAATACCAATAATTTCAGGCCTAATTTGTTTCAGGTTAGGTACCAGCAGGCAGTACATCCTCGAAAATTCTGGCAACTACACGCTGGGTAACTCATGGTATTAGGACAGCACTTTGTCTGCTTACATGTGAAAGGGGTTCACGCGAAGTCTTAAGGGACCGCTTCTAGAGGTCGAATATCAATTATTCCTGCTTTTAAGATTGTTTCAAATAAATATGTGGAGGTTCGTGCTGGTTACCCGGAATAGCTTCCATTGACATCTTGACCATATTGAGTGTATCCTGGGTCTATCCATACCAGCTGCCCAATACCCAATACCCAAGTTGACAATTTGCCTTTCCTCAGTGTGTCCATTATGAAAAAAACCTAAATAATTCACGACGGAGAAGTGTAGCCATTGCACTCTTTAGACAATTACAGATCAATTTGGTTTGAGGTCGACTTGGCACGACATAGCACAACTTGGCCAACCATTGGCTTGGTCAATACTTCCTCACTTTTCTTTTTCGTCTGACAGGCTGGAAGGCCGGACGCGTCACTAAGCAATATCTCAAAATACCCCGACTCATATCCCTGTGACTTGTTTTGGTCCCAGATTAGACAGTTTTGTAATGCTTTCTAGTCCTTGACTGACCAAATATGGAAAACAACAATAGTTGCTGCATTTACATTTCACTCTACAGACCATTGTGGAAAAGCTCTAGTCTTTGAATTCAGTGCATAGTTTCACTGCATTCCCTCAAACTAAACGTTCATTAGGGAAAACGACTTGGGATATGATAAAGATACTGGTTTGAACCGCAACTGATAATATCCAGCAGGTTCAAGTGGTTAGACTTAAAAGTATGTAGTCGTGCTTGAGAAGTGGGGTACCTTTAATTTCTAGAGGAAAAAACGTCACAAATCATATATTTACTAACATGGTAATTAGCAGGCAGAGTGGCGTTTACTGTGGCTACGTGATTATTTAAAAGAATAACGTCAATCAGTCAACTGTGTGTCTACTTCTTTTGTTGGGATGGCAAGTCTGCCATACAACGTAAATACAACTGGCATATCTAACTTCTTAACATTGGTCCATAGACCCCCAAAATGTTTCAAGATATCGGTGACATTTAACAGAAAATGTACGAAGTACTTTTTGGAATTTCCTGGGTACCTTTCCTGATGAGTTTTGCACTTCCTTCAGTACGTTGACCTTTATGTTAGAGTTGAAGAAACAACTGTTTGTAAATGTACTATAGATTGGTTGGTCAATGGGGAGATATCTATCTTCACCTGTCTAAAATAGGCAGACTACGCGTGTAGCTGATTTTAGTTGACATCTTTCAAAGTTTTGTATTTCTTTATATCGTAATTAACCTTGTGTGGTATAAATGCAATCCAAGAAGAACTCTTGCAGCATAGTCGGGGAGAATATGTACTCATGTTTCACACTGGTAAAATGTAGACTTGACAATTCAGTTTGGAATTGATTGCTTCTCTCCTTGAAGAGCAGATCCGTTGGCAATGAGGAGGGGGGGGGGCAAAAATTTTGTCTGGCTCCGGTCTCTGTTAATCAAATCTTTGATCTAGATTCTATGAACATAGGTTTTGGGATAAAGAAATTCACTTTTTCAGAAAGTAAGCACACCCTTCCATCTTTTTAAATTGCTGGCTCTGGGATTGAAGATTTTAGTGGCTATAGATTCTGACCAAGATTCTAAGAAATGAGTTGTAATTTATGACAATAATAGTAAATAAAAGACTGGTTATGGCGAAGAAATTAAATAATGCTTGTTTGCAATAACGATCTAGAGATAATTTGCTACACATATATGCCGAAGGAGCAAGAGGCGTGTGATTTTGAAATTTCTGCGATACCTTTTTTAGCTTTACAAAATCTGGCTAAATAGTGTCAGATTTCCAGAAAACGTGGTGCCTTCCATGTAATAAAGTC